TCTTAATTTTTTGTAAACCTATTTTATAACCTAGATAATTGACAGAATCTCCTCCCTTTATTTTCAGGAGCTATCTGCAATCCCCATTTAGGTAAAATTATCTTTATTTCTTCAAACAGTCTTTCTAAGGTATCTGTGTTTGAATCCGGCAACAATATATCGTCCATGTAATGGTAAATGATAGACTTTGGAAATTGTTTGCATATTATTTCCAATGGTTTATTCAAAAATTTTGGTACAATGAAGGACTGTTTAACATGCCCTGTGGGAGGATAATCCACTGGTACCTCCTAGAAGGCTGAGAGTTATTATAAGTAGGCACTGTGAAGGCAAACTTTTCTCTAAATTTTTCTTGTAAAGGTATAGTGAAGAAACGATCTTTCAAATCAATAACTGTAAGAGGCCATCCCTTTGGTAACAGAGAGGGCAGAGGAATTCCAGATTGCAGAGGGCCCACAGGTTGAATAACCTTGTTGATAGCCCGATCTGTCATCATTCTTCATTTACCAGATTTTTTCTCAACAACAAATACAGGAGAATTCCAAGGGCTGATAGATTCTTCTATATGTCGAGCATCTAATTGCTCTTGTATCAGCTGTCCTAAAGCCTGCAACTCTTCCTCAGCTATAGGCCATTCCTTAGTCCATATTGGTTTCTCAGTCAACCATTTTAGAGGCAGGGCTGCTGGTACCTCTGAAGGGCCATCAATTGCTTTGTGTTCTTGTACAGCCCTAATGGCTGGTTTCTGCCATCTGTAATATCTTTTAATATTTTCCTCAGAAATATAGGCTCTAGAAGCAACAGGAATGTTAATTTCATTATTCCATTGCTGCAATAGGTAATGGCTCCATAAATTCACTGCAATATTGGCTACATATGGCCTTCGTTTTCCCATTTGTCCTTCTGGCCCTATGCATTCAACCCATCTCATGCTTTGTCTTACTCGAGATAAAGTTCCAATTTCCAGGAACTGAATATCTACCACTTGAAGAGGCCAATGTGGATGCCAAGATTCTGGAGTAATGATACTTACATCCATACCTGTGTCCAGTAAGCCAGTAATAAAAATGCCATTTACAAACACTCTTAGCTTTGGTCTTTGTTCATTTATAGAAGTCTGCCAAAATAAGTATTTACTTTGTCCTACCAGATTCCTTAATTCATTCACCACATTTAACTCATCCTTCAGGCCATTATTGCTTTTAACAACAGGCATAGTGCTTTCTAATTTCCCTGAAGAGGCACGTTCTCTGCCGTGACAGGAAATGACTGGACCACATTCACCATGGGGGCCTGTGAGAGGCACCTTATTTATCAGGTTTCCCCGATGGTAACGGGTTGCCTTGGTTATCTCTTGTTGATCTACACTCATTTGTCCAATGCCTGCCTTTTCTACATCTCCTACATAAACCCTGAAGGCTGAGTCCTCCTATTCCTGTTATTCTTAGAACTGGCATTATTCCTGGAATTCCGTTGTCTGCAGTCCCTTTTCATATGTTCCATTTTACCACAATGAAAATATTTGGTAATCTGATGTTACATTTTACCATTGGAAATTGCTTCTTCTACCCATGCTTCAGTGCCATAGTCAAATGTATCAACATTCACTGTATGCAAGACCCATTCATCCAAGAGCACTGATCTGGTCTTTAAAGGCCCCAGGATCCTTTTGCACTCTATGTTGGCATTTTCATAAGCCAAAGACTCTATTACTATACATCTTGCTTCTGGGTCAGATCCCTATTTGTACAGCCTTAGTTAGTCTTTGTATAAAGTCACTAAAGGGTTCTCTCTGATCCTGTTTAACCCTGTCTTGAACCCTGTCCCAAGCCTTTAAAGCTGCTTTGGCACATATGAATAAGAGGTGGTCATCATAAAGAGCTTGTTCCTGAGGATCAGAGTACAGTACTTCACCTAGAATTTGATGTAGGGAAATCTCAGTTCCTTTAGCTCTTTCCTGTTGGTCCAGAAGTCTGGCCTCTTGTTTGAAAAGGCATTTCCAATGTAATAGAGGTCTGCTCTCTGGACAGCCGACACGAGCTGATTCTAGTCGTGGGGCATGACCTGATTACTGAGAGCCCAGGTTTTGAGCATCTCTCTAACAAAGGATGAATGTAGTTTGTAATTTACAATTGCTTGTTTAAATTCTTTCAGATCACTCATATGTACAGGCTCCCATGTATGTTCGTTATTGATATTAGGGTTTTTGGAGCCAGTTATTTTTTCTGATGTTATTACTGGAAAGGCAGGTAGAACTCTGGGTAAACCAAGAGTTTTTCAGAGTTAAATTTTGCCTTTCTACCTTTTTCTCCTGTTCATCAGAGTCTATAATTTCCTCAATCTTTTTAAATCTGTTTACCATTGCCTTCTGTAAGTCCTGAATCTCCTGTCCAATATTATGCCCAAAGCCTTTCTTGAGGATTCTAAGGTATGAAGTTTGTCCATTAGAGATATCATCTCATCCTTGGACATAATCCTCATGGCATATACTGTGCCTTCTTGCATGGAAATCCTGTCAACTAATCTATCATACCCTTTTGATAAAGTCCAATTTTCACATTCAATGGTTTTAATCTTCTCAGCTAATGTCTCAGCACTTACAGTCATGGACTGGAGTTTACTGGAGTTTATTAGTTGTTCCCTCCTCCAGAGCAGTGAAGCTCTCTTTTAAAGAAATAATATTAGACTGCACCTTCTCAAAAATTTGGTCAGTCTACTGAGTCATATCAGACAAAGATCTAGTCTCCTCCTTCAAACTCTTTTTGAGGAGGTTGGTGTCAGTCTGAATTGTTTTTGAAATTACCTCAATCAACTGAAACGTCATTCAAAACAGTCGTGCCCTTCTTTAAGGTTTGAATCTCTGCTCTTAGAATTCTGAATTCAGTCTGTAAGGACTGCATCATCCTCAAAAGACTGCCAAACACCAAAAAAAAAAAAAATGATAAGCCCCAGAAAAAACCAAGTAAGAGGAATATCAGAAACATTTTGCAAAATCTCATCTATAGTGTAATTAAAAAGGCTACAGAAATCTTGAACATTAATGTTGTCCGACATTTTCAATCAAAAGAAATCTTACTTGTATTTATTTTATTTATTTATTCTCAATAGAAAAAAAAATCTTACCTGTAATGACCGTTGCCTACCAGTAGGTGGCGGAGTGCACCTGAATCCATGTGGCAGGCGAGTCAGAACCGGAGGAAAATTCTGAAATATATATACTCAAATCCTGAGGTTAAATTCACAGACTATCTGCTGTGTGGGTTAGAGTCAAGCAGCGGCCTTAATCGGCCAACTCAGCTGGGGTGGCGGCGCTAGGCATGCTGGACCGATAAGCCACGGCCTTGATCGCGGTAGTGCAAAGGAAGTTCCTACTCCCCCATCCTACCTGAAGTTAGCTGGGAGCTGGCCCTCGGCATACTGGCAGTACTCTAGCTGCCTAAGGTCGGTTTGGTTGTTCCGTGTTCTGTGCAGAGGTGGAGGCAGTTTAACCGAAGGGCCTCACGACTTCGGGTTGGGCACCAATTGAAAGGGCATGGTCGATCAGTAGTTAAAAATTAGCCAGAGTAGCTTAATATAAAAGAAACAGCTTAAATAAACAGAATGAAGAAAAACTTACACCAGAGTCCCAAGGGTCCGTCTGAGAATGCAGGGGCCAAGAGAGAGGAAGTGGCAAGGCACTTTTATCATTTATTTGTCTTGTGTGGCCCCAGGGGGACACACCTTAAGCAGAATGTGATTGCCTGAGATTCCCCATCAATAAGTATATAGAGATGGTTTTGGAGTTGGACTCTTACTCAGTCCCTCTCTAATTCCAAGCCTGTTCTTTAGAGAATCACCCAGAATTTCTGTCTCATGTCAAGAGCCATGATATGGGACAGAAGAAAAAAAAAAAGAATTTAGAAAACATCTTTGTATTTCCTCATATCTATAATAGCTTTTGTTGAATATATATATATATCTGTATATGTCTATATAATTAATGTTTATTTTTTCCACAAATGAACAATGAATTGTCCTGCAATAGTCTTTGAAGTTTCCAGAAAGAAGGGCCCCACTACAGCTCCACCTGGTTGATATGACTTCACGATACTGATAGTGCTACTACAAGACTTGTTTTGGGTACCAGCTGCACAAGACAGTTCCAACTTGGTTAGCTGAAATGGTGCACCTCTTTTACAACATTCTGGCCAGACCTCCACAAAATACTCAGAGATCATTTACAATCTTACATTGATCTTGGAATTTAACCATCATTTTACTTTCACAGGATCTCCTAGAAAGAACATTGCCCCCATGACAGCTGGAAGTAATTTTAGAGGATGATGTCCCCTCTCCCAGCAAACTTTGCCCTCAGGCTTAGGGAAATCATTAAGGGGTTGATTATAATTGGTATATGGCTGAGGATTGGGAGAGGAATTTCATAAACTCAGGGATTTTTTTTAAAAAAAGAGGAAAAATTGGATGATGGGATAATAGATTGGTATTTGTGAGTTATTGTTTATGGACAATTACATTGGTATAGATTCTTGTATGCTGATACAAAGTTAAATTATATTGAATATTGTATGCAGGTATGCTTTTACCTCTGTTTAAAACATTGTTTATGTATTGATACATATATTTACCAAATTGCAGTGTACATTTCTACCTTTGATCAAGTACTTATAAATTGTTTATATTTGGAGGTCATTGTCCTCGGTTATTGCATAGTTGTTGTCTTAGTCTTTAAATTAGATAGGTATTAAGAATCATAGATCACTAGTCATCTATTTGTCATATTTATAGTTAGACTAATCAGGCTCTTTAGATACATAGAGATTATATTCTTTATAGACATATGATCCTCAACCTCTTCAAAGAACTGTAGAAAATGGAATTTAGTCTAACTTAGAGTTCTGTGATAGTGAGGCACAATCACTCCTGGCAACACCTATCTATTCCCAAGAGAATGTTGTGCACCAGAGACACTTCACTGGGAGCTTGCTTTCTTCTTGGCAGAACTGGCCTTTGGGCAAAGAAATGCCCATACCTCAACCACTGACAAAAATACATAGTATCCATAAATGGATAAAACAGGACTGTGGAATCCTGCCAATACAGGGTAAAATAGTTTTGAAAAGTTTCTTGCCTTTGAGAATGGTATGTCAGTTACGTTAGACATTAGCCAAATTTGGTTACTTCAACATTGCTAATGAGATTTTGGGTGATTACTCAGGTAGCCAGTTGTCTCTGTCATTTGTTGTATACTTTGGAAGTTTCTCAATTGCACTTCCTGTTTACTCAAGTAATATTGTTTCCCTTCTGAGATCTTCGATGGGATTGAAGATTAGATAGTTGTAGTTACCTTTCTCATGATTTAGCCAAGCTTAATTTCAATGAAAGATTTAGACTCCTTGAAATGGAATGTTTGGTAAAACTTTTATTATGCATTCCTTGCTTAATATTGTTTATTATTTATAGTTTTATATTTGGTATCTGTTCCTATTGTATATAGTTGTATTGGGTTTGGATTGATCTTGTATAGACAAAAGGAGGAGATGATGGGGAAGTTCTGTTAACCAATCACACCCAGTTAAGGCATGGCTACGTGGAACAGAGGAAGAAAAACTGAGAGAGACCAGGTAACCACACTCTCAGTGATTCCCACCAGACACAGAGGAACTCAGACTCCCCATTCTTGTGCTGTAAGTTTCCCATTGTAACCATTAAAAATATAATTGTTATCCTTAATCTGGCCTGGTTATTTTCCATATTGAGCTCATTTGCAACATCTGTCCTTTCTCCATCTCGATTATCCAGGTCTCTCAAGTTCTTCTCCCCCTTCTCTACACCCCTTCTCTTCCCTTTCCACTCTCCCTTCCCCTTATCCACATGCTCCCAATTATGTCATAAGATCTTGTCTATTTCTCTTTACCAGGTGAATCTATATATGTCTTTCTTAGTGTTTACCTTCTTACTTAATACCTCTAGGATCATGAACTTTAGTCTCAATATTCTTTGCTTTACAGCTGGTATCCACTTGTGAGTGAGTACATACCATGTTCTTCTTTCTGGCTCTAGAAAAAAAAACTATTCTGAGTGATGTAACCCAACACAGAAATACAAACATGATATGTAACTCAGAAGAGGGTATTAGATTTAAAGAGAAGGATAATCACCCTATATAGTCCATAACCCCACAGAAGCTAGTTAACAAAGAGAACCCTAAAGGGAGACTTAAGTGGATCCCCATGGGAAGCGGAAAATGTACAAGATCTCCTGAATAAATTGGAAGCATGGGGGAGAGAGAAAAAGAGTGGAAGGGGAAGGGAATTGGAAAAGGAAGAGGAGAATATGAGGGAAATAAATAGTTGATATGGGGAAAAACAAAAGGAAAGCAAGGAAAGAGATATATCAATTGAGGGAGTCATTATGGGGTTAGTGAAAAACCTGTCACTAGGAAATTACCAGGAATCCACAAGGATGATGCCAGTGAAGACCTAAGGTATAGTAGACAGGGTAATTTAGCTGGCCTTCCCCAGTAAACAGATTAATGACTACCCTTATTTTTATCACAGAGCCCTCATCCCATAACTGAAAGAAGCAAATATAGAAATCCACAGCTAAGCGCTGGACCAAGCTCCCAGAGTCCTGTCAAGGAGAGGTAGGAGTGATAATATGAGCAAAGGGGTATATACAGTTTTAAATTGTTGTATTCTAAAATCTTGTTGAATTCATTCATTGTATCAAGAAACTGCTGTTTGAATTCTTTAGTACATTATGAACAAATATTTATGCTACCTTCCAATTTAAAGAGTTTTATAATTTTTAATCCTTGTTTTTCTTTTTGATTTTATACATGATCTATGACTTCAAGTACAAATCTCCCAGTAACCTCAGTGAAACTCTGAAACACAGCCAGCTACTACACAGAGAGGACAAAGAGGTGAGTGACCACTCACCCAGCAGGATACCCCACTTACTAGGCCCTCCATTACCTGCCTTGGATTCTCCAGCCAGCCAGCAGACAAGTTTTCTACAAGGTAGGCTGCTCCACTACACTCAAACCATCCATCAGACCCTGAAAGCTAAAAGTCCCATTCTGTCCTCAAATCCTCCTATTCCCCTAGCAACCTCAGAGGAATGCTGAAACACAAACTGCAACTACACAGAGAGGACTAAATAAGAAGACCAAGAGAGGAATTCTGAAGCATAAGTTGAGATCCTACAGACGAGACCAAGAGAGCAGAAAATAAGAGAGTACCAAGAGATACCTCAGTAGCTTCAAAAACACAGCCTGTGACAGTATAGAGCAGACCTTGAACAGTTCTCAGTGACACAGACAGCCACTGCAAGGATTGGATCAAGAGGCAAAGACACTGCCAGCACCAGCTGATAGAAGAGATAGGTAGGCCCCAATGCAAAAATTCATCCAACAACCTAAGAAGCAAAATGGTAACACCAGAACCCCAAAATCATACAACAGGAAGACTTGATCACCTTAACACAGAAGAAGCAGAAGAAAATTATTTTAAATATGACTTTATGAGGGTGCTGTAGACCTTTAAAGAGGAAATGAGAAATTCACTTAAAAAATGGAGGAAAAGACAAACAAAACCTGTAATAAATAAATCTTTCAAAAAAACCCAATAAATCCAAGTAAAAATCAAAAGTAAAGCAAACAAAATAGAGGCAATAAAGAAAACAAAATAGAGGGACTTATGGATATAAAAATCTGGGAACTACAGATACAAGCATAACCAACAGAATACAAGAGACATAAGAGAGAATCTCAGATGTTGAAGATACTATAGAGGAAATAGATTCATTGGTCAAGGAAACATCAAAACCAACAAAATCTTAACAAAAATATCCATGAAATCTGGAACACCACAAAAAAACCCACACTTAAGAATAATACAGAGAGAAGAAGAAGTATAAATCTAGCTCAAAGGCACAGAAAATATATTCAACCAAATCATAGAAGAAAACTTTCCAAATCTAAAATAGGATACCCTTATGAAGGTACAAGAAGTTTACAGGACACCAAATAAACTGGACCAAAAAGAAAAAAAGAAATAAAGTACCCTCACCACATAATAATCAAAACACAAAGCATACAGAGTAAAGAAAGATTATTAAGAGCTGCAAAGGAAAATGGTCAAGTATCATATAAAAGCAGACCTATTAGAATTAAACCAATTTCTTAATGGAAACCATGGAAGTCAGAAAGCCCTTGAATGATGTGCTGCAAACACTAACAAACAATGGATGCAAGCCCAAACTACTATATCCAGCAAATCTTTCAATCACCATCAGTGGAGAAAATAATATATTCCATGACAAAACCAGATTTAAACAATAGCTATCCACAAATCCAGCTCCACAGTATGTACTAGAAAGAAAACCCTGTAAAAGGAGCACTTTGAAATCCCTATTTAGGCAAGACTTTCTTTACTTCTTCAAACATCCTTTCTAAAGTATCTTTATTTGAATCAGATAACAAAATGACATCCATGTAATGATAAATTATTGACTTCGAAAATTGCTTATGAATTATTTCCAATGGCTGATTTACAAAATATTGGCACAATCTGAGACTATTGAGCATCCCTTGTGGGTGGATAGTCCATTGATATCTTCTAGTTGGCTGAGAATTATTATAAGTAGATTTAAGGCAAAATTTTCTTTATACTTTCTTGTAAAGGTATAGTGAAAAAACAATCTTTCAAATCAATAACTATAAGAGGCCATCCTTTAGGTAATAGAGAAGGCAAAGGAATTCCAGATTGTAGCGGACCCATAGGTTGAATTACCTTGTTGATAGCTCTTAAATCTGTCACCATTCTACATTTATCAGATTTCTTTTTTTACAACAAACACAGGAGAATTCCAAGGACTGGCTGATTCTTCAATATGGTGAGCATCTAGTTGCTCTTTTACCAGCTGTTCCAAAGCCTGTAATTTATCTTCAGCTAGAGGCTCCTGCTTGATCCATATTGGCTTCTCAGTTAATCATTTTAAAGGTAGGGCTGTTGGTACCTCTAAAGGTTTGCTATTTGCTGTATGTTATTGTACAGCCTGATGGTTGGTGACCTTTTTCCATAATACCTCATTATATCTTTCCCAGAATTATGAGTTCCTGGAACTGCAGGAATGTTAATCTGGGTATTCCATCCCTTCTCCTTTTTGCAACAAAACCCCAACCCAACAACAGACATCTATAGAAGATTCAATTCAAACATCAAAGAAAACACTTTTTTCTCAGCACCTTATGGAACCTCATTAAAAACTGACTGCATACTCTGTAACAAAGCAAACCTCTACAGATTAAAAAAAATGGAACAAACCATGTATCTTATCAGATAACCACGACTTAAAGCTAGAGTTTAACAGCAACATCAATTTCAGGAAGCCCACAAACACATGGAAATTGAACAATGATCACCTGAGTCACCAAAGGGTCAAGGAAGAAATAAAGAAATATATTAAAGACTTCCTAAAATCCAAAGAAAAAGACAGCACAACAAACTCAAAAAATGGGACAATGAAAGCACTGTTAAGAGAAAAATTCATAGCACTTAATGTCTATGTAAAAATTCTGGAAAAATCCCATGCTAATGAGTTAACAGAACACTAGAAATCTCTAGAACAAAAAGAAGCAAACTCACAGAGGACTAGATGATAGGAAAAAATTAAGTTGAGAAATGAAATCACCAAAATCAATGAGGCAAAAGTGGTTTCCCTGAGAAAAATCAGCAAAACAGACAAACATTTATCCAAACTAATGAAAAGTAAATGTCTAATTTAACAAAATCAGAAATGAAAAGGGGAACATAACAACAGACAGGGAAGAAACTCAGTGAATCATTAGGTTATAATTGAAAAACCTATATTCCATAAAATTGGAAAACTTAAAGAAAATGGACGATTTTCTGGATAAACATCTCTTACCAAAATTAAATCGAGACCAGATAAGTAAATTAAATACACCTATAAATGCTAAGGAAATAGAAACCATCATCAAAAGTATCCTAAGGGAAAAAAAATCAAAAAAAAAAAAACAACCAGAACCAGCTGGTTTAAGCACAGAAGTATATAAGATTTTCAAAGAAGAACTAATACCAATAGTCATTTTGTTCCACATGAAGGAAAAAGAAACAACATTGTCAAACACTTTTTAGCAGGCCACGGTTACCCTATACCCAAACCACACAAATACAATATTAAGAAAGAGAATTAAAAACCAACCTCACTCATGAACACTGATGCAAAAATTCTCTATAAAATACTGGCAAACCAAATGCAAAAACACATCAAAAGAATTTATCTACTATGATCAAGTAAGCTTCATCACTGAGATGCATGGATGGTACAACACATGAAAATTTGTCAATATAATCCATAAAACAACTGAAAGAAAAAAAAACCTACATGAGTCTATAGCAAGTCAACACCCAACATCAAACTGAATGGAGAAAAACTCAAAGAGATTTCACTGAAATCAGAAACAAGACAAGATTATTCACTCTCTTCTTTTCAATGTAGTATTCAAAGTTCTAGTTAGAGCTACAATACAACAGAAGGAGATGAAGAGGTTACAAAATGGAAAAGAAGAAGTCAAACTCTAACTATTTCGTGAAGATATGATAGCATACATAAGTGTAGAGAAAAATTCTATTAGGGAACTTCTACAACTCATAAACACCTTGAATAATGTACCAGGACACAAGATTAACTAAAAAAAAAATCCACAGCTCTCCTTTAATCAAAAAATAAATGGGCTGAGAATTAAATCAGAGAAACATCACCCTTCACAATAGCCACAAATAACATAAAATATCTTGGGGTAACTGTAACCAAACAGATGAAAAACATGTATGGCAAGAACTTTTAATCTTTAAAGAAAGAAATTGAAGAAAGAAAATGGAAAGATCTTCCATGCTCTTGGGTAGATAGAATTAACATAGTAAAAACGGCAATCTTACCAAAAGGAATTTACAAATCAATGCAACGTCCAGCAAAAGTCTTCACAGACTTTGATAGACAATCATCAACTTCTTATGGTAAACAAAAAATTCAGAATAGTCAAAACAATTCTGTTTAATAAATTAACTTCTGAAAGGTTCGCAATTCCTGTTTTCAAACTCTACTGTAGAGCTACAGCAATAAAAACAGCCTGGTGTTGGCATAAAAAGAGATAGGAGGACAGCTGGAATCAAATTTAAGACCTGGATACCAATTTACACACCTACGAACACCTGATTTTTGACAATATACATATGCATTGCAAACACAGCAGAAAAGAACACACACTGAGAAGCTATTGATAATGGGCACTGGGACTGCTTTCATCTGCACTACTGACTTTTTGGGATCCTAGTCTGATTGGATGATCACCTTCCTAGACCTGGAGGGAGCAGGGAGGAACTTGAACTTCCCACAGGGCAGGAAACCCTGACTTCTCTTAGGACTGGAGAGGGAGGAGGAGAGGGAGTAGGGGGAGTGGGAGGGTATTGGGAGGAGGGGAGGAAGTGGAAATTTTTATAAATTATTTATAAAAAAATTTTTATAGTGTTTATTTTTCTTCTTTTGTATCTTAAAGTGCATAAGAATAGTTTCTCTTCAACTTACGTATTTATTGCTTTATATAAACTAATATTTTTCATGAAATTCATAAATTTTCCATAAGAGATATCTATTAATATTTATTGTTGTCTCATCTGAAAAATGATACTGATAAATTTCACACATGTATGTTCATTTTTCCAACCAAAATAACATGGAAGTCTGTACTGTAATCACTGATGATTGCAATTTAGGTATGTTGATTCAAAATACCCATATGTAGAAAGTTTATTTAGAATCAGCTGAATTTATTAAAACCCCAAGTCAAGTGAATTTATGTAGAGGGATATCCTTTTTAATTTTAAAAATCAATACAAGAAGTTTTTGTATTCTACTGAGATAAGCCATTGCATCCAACTCATAACTGTTAATATCACATATAGTTACAGATAACACTGAACTTCATTAGTCAAAAGACCATGATCTGACACAGATTTGCCATACAATAGGAAATTATTTTTTGAGTATAATTTTTTTTAAATTCTGGCTATAGCTCACATTTTGTAGCAAATGGTCTCATAACTTCAAAAAATAACCACTTTGATTATATACATTCAGTAAGAAATGAGTTTCTCTTTAGTTCTTATTGTTGAAGTGAATAATTTTGAAAAGTTGTTTAACAATACCAATGCTGATATGACATAAGGAGGCTTTATTTGTCTCTTGTTCTATTTCCACAAAAATGGAATACATGATATCACTCTTAACAGAGAAATACCTAAGGGATTTCTAAGATAATTGTTTCCATGGTACTCAATTTGGTCAGAAACACACAGGCAAATTACACCCCTGGGGCAAATTCAGAACGTGATGATAGGTCAAGCTGAGGGGAAGGTTATCTCCACATAACATGAATAACTTCATAAGCACACATCAGACTGGC